TCTGAATGTTGAACTTGAATTGTGCTCTGTCTCCAGTTGTTTTTGGGGATTCCAGCTCCATCTTGAAGGTTCCTCAGTCTAAATGATGGTCTAAGCCCACATCTGCTCCTCTTCTCCACCTTGTGTTCAGCAGGTTGTGTCAATACTCCCTCTAGATTGACATGAAATCTATTTGGTTTGCAAAGTGTCCGTCAGGCGAAATCCATGTTGCTTTGTGTACATCCTTGTGTTTGTGCTCGCTGCCCCCAACCACCAGATCATTGGAAGTTAAGGAATCTGAGAATAATTATCATTTATCATTCACTCATGAGCGCCTCTCGACCCACCATGAGTTTTCTTCCTGAATTGTCTGCTTCCAGTTTGGCATTCATAACGCCTATGAAGATTTTGATGTCATTATTTTGGATGCTGTCCATTACTGTATGTCGTATGAAGAGAAACTTCATGCTCCTCTCGTTAAGAGTTGGCCGTAGCTTTCCTTCACTCCTCTTGACTTGAATCTTGATGTTATAATCCTGGAGGAGATTGGCTTCCCCTGCATTAGGGCTTTAGCTGCCAGTGGTGACATCATGATAGCCATTTACTTCCTCCTTGTCGTCTGGGTGGCTGGAGTAAACTACTGACTCTCCAGTTGACGATTTGGATAGTCCAGATTCATTCCACTCTCTTTGTCACTTTCCTAACACTTCTATAACACATCTTCTCGTTACTTCGGCTACCTGAACAGCCTTTGCAGCTTCATACATTGCACAAACATTACATGCTCCCATTCTTATTCTTGCTTTCAGTGAAAGAAGACGTATCGGCTGACTGGCTTCTCGAAGGCTGGCTTTCAACAGCCACGCCATTTTGCCTCTCCTATTACGGCGAAGAACAACTTTATCTCCTAATTCTTTTATATTTTTGATATCCTTCTTGTGTGTTGAATACTCTGTAGCAGTTTGATTGGTTTTGCGAGGTGAGGTCGCTAGACCAACGCCCAACTCTCCCACTTTTCCCAGGCCTTGTACCGGCTCGAAAACTAGGTGAGGTGATAAAGAATGATGTTAACTTATTACACTGATGCAATATTTCTCCGCTTACTCATAGTTTAGTGACACAAAATAAAGTTTTTTGCTCTTATCTATGGATATTCCTCAGAATTAGACAGGCTAGTATACACTTTGTTTGGCTGGTCTTATAACATTTATAAAGTAGGGGAAACTCACTGATTCCTTATTAAATAAACGCCATGTAATAATGAAATCCTTTCTGTCAAAGTTGTTAGGCTGAGATAATCACCAAAGGAAAACTTCATGTGAACATAAGTTGTAAGACTAAACTCATGGTGTGAATAACTATTATCTATCGTAAATGGAAATTTTTACTGATGTCATTTTACCAATATTCCATTCAGTTTAACAACAAAGAGTAACAATAACCTCAATAATTCAAACATTCGATCATCGAAAGTAATTTAGATCGATGGCCACCTTCGCAAGTCAAAGAATGATAGTAATGATCGTAACTTTAAAAAAATATAACTTAGTTCCTATACAAAGATATTTCAATTAGGGAAATTCAGTCACTCTAATCACTGCAACAGTCCAGTAATCCAGTAAGTCTGTGGTTAAAGACGGACTAGTTGGCATTCGGTAACGTAGTTAGAAGTCATTTAATCAACCACTGACTCAGTGAAAAGCAGTGTCTACACCTTTGTATAACACTTTTCACTATGCATACCCACTAGTTTGTTTCCCAAATTATAAAATAAAGCTTCTGCCCACTTATTGCGGAATTAATGGAGGGAAACTTAAAAACATTTTAACCATCAAGAATAACACCATGTTTTTAATGCTCCTTTTACGGCCTACCTCGAATCTTTTAATATAGCAGTGGTGTCCATCATAGCTTCAGGGCTGGTAGTGCTTGAGGTAAAACCATTAGATTCGATTTACCCTTATCTATTCGGTTTTATGCTGCTGAGGTTTTTTTTACTAAGGAGACACTTGACACTTGATTTTCACACCTGATGCTCACATTTCTCATATTCATCAACTGCGATTCCGTTCTCAAGTTGTGTAGAGGGTTAATATTTTTCTCGTTTTTAAGTTACTTGGACTACATGCAATATCTGTTGGTTTTCAGCTTTTACTGTCTTACCGATTTTATGGGAAAATTACGTGACACGGCTTTCCTTGAAGCTTGCTATTTAGCAGCTTGTGCTGAGAAAATGTATGTGCATTTCTTAACATGATTGCACTACATGATATAGCACTTCATATTTTAATCCTAATATGATGAATTATTGACAGCAAAGAGTAATCCTTGCCTTTCTCAATATTCAAGACCATTGCATGTGGTGAAAAACATGACTCCATCTCAGGATAGAGTTCAAAAAGTTGACAATGTACACCATCAAATTTAATAGATTTATCATTTCACTTTCCGTTAGCCTGTGATAGTTGGTTAGAATGTATTCAGCATTCGCTGCTACATTTGAGGACCATTTACAAATAGAAGATTTTCCAAAGCTTGAAAATGTTTTTTACAAACTACAGTTATTTTATTTGTTATAAATAACTACTTCGTTCATATTTCAATAACTAAGCCCAGAGAGGGTTACAAACTGCGCAGTATTCAAAGTTACTCCTTGTTAACGAGCTGCGATGGCATCGCTTGGATCAAGGAAAGTACGTCGGCATAATCGCATTGCTTTGTCAGAACTACCAAAAGAATCGAAACGTAAGTGCCACCAATGTATATTTAAGGTCACTTGACTTGGTTTCAACTTGTATTGTCATGCGTATGTATGGTATATTTTTATACATAAGTATTTTGATATTTTATTGGCAGTTTTCATAATAATGCTGTTTCACGCCTATGTGTACATCTTTATTACATTCACTTGTGGCACAGGGGTTCAATCAGTTTTGATAGGTGTAGACATTGTACACCTCCAGTAAGAACGCATGCAATAAATCCCAACCCTACTATTACACAATACCACTATGTATCGGTTGGTTTAAAGTTTACTAATACGTGCTGTAAATAGGCCAAATGAGTACAGATTGGCTGCCAGTGATGTTGCATTTTCTAGTTTACCAGTAACATGCTTCTCATCTTATGATTGCAATCTTGAGATGATGGGTCTATTTTGCGCTGTTAAATATTAAATAATGACAGATGTGAAGTAATTTACTGCAGCAGTTAGATGCATTTTGCAGATGGCAGTTTTTCGTGTCCTGACCTGCTATCCATCAATACTCTGTCCGAGAATCTTCCCATTTTCCACAAATGTGGCTTTATTTTCCCACAATTGTAAGAACGAGAGAGTTTGATGATAGCACTAGTTTTTTTGGAATAAGGGAGTTATGTTTGCGGGCTATTTCAAAATGTCCACTGTGTAGCTTTCCTTGCGTTCCTCTTGTCGTTATTGCAAAAGTTGAAAGAAATTACTGGTAATGTGAGATTCAATGTGTTGCGGACTAAATGGTTTAGCTCGTTTATACACGAGTAAAAAGGGCAGAACAAATACAAACATGTATGTATGTTGAGAGGAATTCAGTCCACACAAATTAAAATAAAATACAGTTACTTGGTGAATTATAATTGCCCCACAATACACAAGTAAAGACGTACAGAAATGTAGTGATGGAATAGTCCCTTTTTAGTATGCAGTTGCTCACTCCACGTAATAGTGTACCAACGGCCCGAGGGTACTTGCGGAGAAAAAGGGAGATTAAAGCTAAGGATCCGAATGTGAATGTACGGACCACGTACGATCCGGAGATGGTTGGCAATAGCGGAAAGCAAGAAGTTGGAGAGAGAAGCTGTTTCGTCCGTACTCCGCACTGAACCAGGTCCTGTCCTTATTCAGTCTCAATTAACAGCCATGATGTGCAGTGAACTCATTATTTTTACTATTTTACAATGAGCGTATTATTTGATATTTTTCGGTGTCCACATGTCAACTGCTTCACTATCGTGTAAATTTAGTCACTTATTCAGAATATTTAAAATGAATACGATTGGTCAGGAAAAATCAAATATGGATTGAGCACATGTTTTAATTTTTGTGTTTTTATTCTTATTCCTGTATAACATGATGAAGTGCTCTCAAACTAATTGTGAGATTATTTATCTGATATGTTTCTGTAAATAATACTGATCATCACATGCATTATTATTAAGTATACAATACCTAGCACCCACCCACCTCTAGGAAATCGTTACTTGTTCATATTTTCTTGTCACGTTGCAGTTGGAACACTTTACTGAAACCTATAACTTATATGATGTACTTGTTAATACTCTCATTTATTTTTGTGTAAGTGAAAGCAGAAATACCAGAAATTTCTGGTGTCATTGGTTGTTTGGTATCAGCTTTGGTTTTGTGGAGATGTCAGTCATTTATGTAAACACTCGACTTATACTCATTGGATCTCGGGTTTATCCTTAGTCTGGGCAACTGGGTAGTAAAATCAGTCAGCACATGATAAGTTTAACCCATAGCAACTTAAAGGATAAGTGAATTCGAACTAACGACTTTGGCTTCACACACGATTACGAAAAGCTTTATGTAAGTATTTGGTGCTACTGTAATTTGATGTATTTCAAGCGCCATGCAAATCATATCTGTGGCGTGTATAATCTAACTTCAAGTAAACATATTTAAATATGTAGATTGACAGTTAACTCACAAAAGCAAATATAACTTCCCTTTTGCATGTGATAGCTGATGGGACCGCTTACGACCAGCAATTAATATTATTTTAATCACAGAAACCCTATTTATAAAAGTATGTGGACTGCTGCTCTTAGTTTTCTGCATAGCATTTCAAAGCTTTGTTATTTAATAATTTATTGTGATCTTGAAGAAACCTCAGTAATGCTTGCACCCAACCTTTCCGTGCTTATGTTTCCAAGGGGGACTACAACTAACATTGACTTGAACTTCTGAAGCCCTTTATTAGTTTTGTTGAGTCTCGAAAAATAGGTTGCTTCGTAGTGTCTGTTTCTCCTGAGAATGTGTGGAATCCATGGTCTTCAGTGATCTGCACTGAAGTCATTCACAGTAACTCAGGAGTGTTTAATCTTTATCACTGACATCCCTCTGCCTATTATTTTTGCTCTGGTCTAGATAATGTTGACTAATACTAATACATTGTTGTGTGTTTATCCATGTCTGATTTGTCTACTCGATTTCCTTCATTTATCTGTCTTCGCGAGTTTCATAATTTAAAAAAAAACAATGTAGTAATTGGTTTCCATCATAGCAATACAAGTAAGAACAGTTATCACTGTGTTCAAAGAACTCAGTGTTGTGCTGGTGTCTTTAGAAACTATTTTGTCGCTTCAGTGAAGATTTTTTAGTGGTGTGTTTTAGGAATTAGATACTCAACAAGTTGTAGCTTTTGACGCATTAGCATTCTTTTTAAATCAGTCTTAGCAATCTGTTCATGAATCTCTCCATCTCTGTGGTCTCAAAATTAATCACACTCATTCAGGCATTTTTAATCTATTTCACCCTGTCAGTGTATATATAAATATATATGTAAAACTGAAAATTCCCTTCACACCTGTCAGTGAGAGAGTACTATGGTTAACATTCTAAGCGCGCGATTATATTCAACGTCATAAGTATGACGACATTTCTGTTTTACTTAACTCAGAAATCCGATATTTTTTACTTTCATTTTTGTAATTAGGCTCATCAAATACTGAAGGTAAACTACTAGTTGGTGCAAACGAATCGTGCTCCTCCGATCATAACACCAGCTGTCGGACACAGATCACCGGGTCATTGGTTTCTGGGACGGAGACACGATCTGTTGTGTCAGACCTAGTGAGTTAAAATTTGTGAAAATTTTTGTTTGTAAATTGTACTTATCTAATTGACGATTTGGTTTACTTCGGAAAGTGTCATAAACACGGAAGAATTGTCGACTTGGATTCTGTTTGTCATATTCACTAAATAAACGAGTTATTTACTGTGATATGATCATCTACCTGACCATATTTAATGTTTTATGCAGTTGCGTAATCCATGCGTCGGTGGCACAGTGGTTAGGACTCTCGCCGACCATGCACATGGTCCGGGGTTCGGTCCCCTGCCGGCGCACACCCGATATCTATGGTCAGCCTGAATTTGGGCTACCGATATCCATGCTGAAAATTCCATACTTGTACTGAAAATATGGTGTGGAATCAAGCTGTAAATCAAAATCAAAATAAATAAATAAGAAAGAGCCTAACACCTAAACTTCTTACGCGAGTGGTGACTTCTCTCCTGGCTTCCAATAAGGTTTCATGCATTTAGATTCGCGTCAGTTCCATTTAACGAGATGAAACACTGAGTCTGTTCCATTCAATTTTCCTTACTAAACACACATATATATACCCTTGAACCTAAGGTGATTTTTGTGTTTTTGATCATTATCGTTTTAAAACCTTAGGTAATGCTTTTTGTTAAACAGGAATTCGACTGGCTTAATTCACTTAACTATCTTCACACTGTTGACTTAGACAAAAGCACAAGTTTTCTTAGCCTCAGGATGTTATTTCTTTTACCACCAACGCAAATGCACTAGCACTATTATATCTGTGAGTTGTTTGGTATTAGGTTTATAAAACTACCAATATTACTTCAATAGTTTCACGCAATTATATTAGTCTTATTGATTGCCATTTATGGTATCAGGCAAGTTACTTATTTTGATTTGTATCGTTTCTGTTTTCAAAGGAAACTATAGCGAAATTCCACCTCGAACTTTGTAAATAGCAAATTTTGATTTGATTCACTCCAGTTTTGTCACGGCGTTTACATTATACATAAATCTCTCCTTCAATTTTCCATGTAATTTTCCAAACTGTACAAATCTTACATTACATAATTTCTTCATTTCAGATGTCTCAAAAGGACATTTTTTCGTTGTACTATCGTCCTGTTCCTCAGAAATCAAAAGTGCACTCTACCCGTCATTCCCATAATAGCCTAACAACCTATTCTAACAATGAAGCACGACATTCAATTTCAAAGCATCGGGGAGGTCATTCTAGTCATAGCTGTGCATTATCAGCTAGTGAGGTTTCAAATAGTAAATCTGGGCGTATCAGCCAGCTGGCAAATCGGGTTGAAAATCTCCTCATACAGGTTTGTCCAATCTTAAGTTTAACGTTAATATTTTTTGTTTATCCTAAATACTTACGTCATTGTTGAACTTTTTATGTCCACCGATATGTTCCTAAGCAGAACATTCATTACCACCATAGAATAAAATAATGCTACTAAACTTAATATTCCACAGTTACCCTTATCTTAATAGTATCACGCTGCAATTTTTTTTAGTAACAGAATTTAATAATAACCTTCCAAAAGATGGGTGTGTGTATTTTCCATCTAAGTGACAGTCGTAGTCGCATACTATTGAAAACTCTCAGGCTGTAGTGAAGCGAGAGATAAGTGTTCCTTAGTATTTTGCTGGTTGGATAGTCGTACTGACACTTTCTGATTGTCCATTGTTAAAGTCAAGATTTTATCAGTCATACTTGTCTTGTAGTCTACCAGTGGAAGCTTAACTCTCCATTATGTAGTCAGTTTTAGACCTCATACTATCTTACAGATCAAAGACTAGAAAACCATTTTGTTTTCGATCACTCAATTATTGAGTGTTCATTTAAGAAATTTCATTTGGACCAACTTGGAAGACCATAGCTTGGCACTTAACACAAAAAGAAAATATTCTCACAACCTTTTGTATTTGCATAGAGTCAGTGAGCCATACCTAATTTTGTCAGACCTAGGGATACTAACAGGTCTCTGAAACTGCTTGAGGTGCAGTTGTGTTTGAACCTGTTACTCATTCGAACTCAATAGTCCGAATCAGTGGGTCACAGTTCCGTTGCATTAGATGAATTTGTTCACTTCCAATCTAACTGTAGCTCATTAACTTGCTTTCAACCGGTTAACAAGATGCTCCGATTCCATTCTTATTTGTCAGTGTTTCTGAGTGTCATTAATTCACGTACAACATGTATGGTCAACTGCGTTAAACTCAACGTTTTTCCTGAGTTGTATTTCTCATAGGGAGAATGAAATTGCTACAAGTAGTGTCTTCTAAACTCAGCATTTCACAACAGTTTAATAATATTTTATGCAAACATAATATCCCTTGATTTTCATCCTAAGTGTGTTTCTGATAGTAATTACTGTCATATAAATGTTTTCTTCAAGGCTCATAGATTTCATTCACTAATAATATCAATTGGTTTGTTGCTTTGTCTTCTAGGATCCTAAGAATATCTTGCACAGTGGTAAATCTCAGACAGCTTATTACCCTGTCATACTAGAATCGTCAGACGACAGTTCTGCTTCCAGTATTCACAGAAAATCAAGTGTCAGCAATTCAAGTCCCACTAAAACCGTCTTGTCATCTCCTTGGTATCGTCACTGCCGACCGAAAGCTCCCTTTCCCATACTTCCATTACCTACTAAAAACTGCTTGGAAAATGAATACTGTTGTTCTGAATTGTATAAAAGCAGTAGCAGTAGTGGAGATGATCATCAGGAAGTTGCGTGCGAAAAGCTATTTAAACCTGTACCGTGTTATCCTTCTTCATCACCTCTGCGGTCAGTACAACATTCAAACATCTCGCAGATTGAAGTAGACGTTAGTCAAGAAAATATTTTCTGGCCTCCTGACTTACCACTACCTCCATCTTCTATCCCCGCTTCCGCTGATGTTGATTTAACACTGATGAATCGTTCTTACTCATTACCATCTCCCCTTGAGAATAATGATGATGAGTCAAATTTGATTTCGGAAACAATGACATCTTATTCAGATGAAATCACTTTGAAACCCTTGGCCCCTATAACTAATATTTTACCGAATGGAGGGATCTTTACGCGTAAGTCAATGAGAAAAGTGCTTTTTTCCCATAATACCTTGAAGTTATCTTTTAATAAGTTCTCGGTTTAAGTGCAAATTCCTTTACTAGTGTTTTTCTGTTCGTATTGGTCTTACTATCTCAATAAAATATATACTTTTTCTGAGTGTCAGATAAAAAACTATCCATTTCATGTATTATCTGTTGAGGTTGAAAGTCAATTTACTCAACTTCCAGTATCAAAGGTATAAAATCATATTTAGCATATGTCATCTATGTTGCACTATTCCCTATTGATGTTTTTACGTACAACGCCACAAATAAAAACTTCTTCCTTGCCTTCAAGAGTCTTCTCTATTTTAGTAAAGTTTAGTTTTTGTAAATGCAACTTTCTGGATTACACTTCTGACATTAATCACTTAGAAGTAAATTTAATTCATTTTATTAATACTACTAATGGTGATAAATTGTATTCCAATCTCTCCCAGTAAAAATAGCACTGTTTCATTGCATGACAAGTTAAGTAACTTGACTAACATAAAATTACATACCACCACCATCACAGTGTTTGTGTTCTGTAATTTTATTGTCATACTGATCATTTCTAGTCTAAATGAGTTACCTTGGCTGGTCAATGCTTTCTAGTTGTTGTATGTTTAATAAAATCAGTGTAGGTGTGGATTATTGGCTTATAGACTTGGATTACAGCTGATGGTTTCTAGTTCTAATTTTATTTTACTTTATTTTGTCTCTTGGCAGACAGTTAGTACCGTAAAACTTTTACTTGGCTCATTGCAACATGAAATCTTTGTAATAATCACTTCTGATTTTCTTACAGAAAATGATTGCTAGGTGTGAAAATATTTTTTCTAGGAACATTGTCAATGGGAAGCATAAACCAGGCACTCACCATGTGATTTAATTTCGTAAGAATTAAACAGTGCACTTCAGAATAAAATGAAACTTTGCTTTACATTGTCAGTGTTTCTATTCTTGTTATTTTACCTAATCACAAAATTTCATCAATATCTCGAAGTATATATCTCTAATTATTTTACCTGTAATACAAGTAATTAATAATTACTGTCCTTGTATGTGCCGTGTGGTTTTGTTAAACTTTATATCGCACAGAAATAACAGCCTTTGTCTATGAATCAGATATTAATCTTTTTTTCATCTCGTATACAGATGGGTTTTAGGTGATTGTATTTGGCATTCATATTTGTCCTTCTTTGTCCGATTAAGGGCAGTATTCCTGTGACCTTTTATTATTCATTCCAGACCAGTCTAAGCGTGTTTGGCTGACTAATAAATAAATCTCTCTTAATTCTCTCTCCCACCCCACCACCCTTATTTTATTTTTGTTCTACCCCTTTTTAATACTATATGCTTACCTTACGCACACCATGCTCCTATTCACCTTTTGTAAACTGTTAGCGATTGTCGTCCTTATGCCTGGCTTACTGTCAGTCTGTCTTCATTTAAACATCTGGCCGACAAGTTGGCTCACATGCCAAAAGTAGGTCATATTTTCATTTTTCCCATACAAGTTCAAATGTCTTCGCCTATGTGGTGGGTTATGTTTCCTGCCTTGTTTGTATCTGCAAATTCAGACCAATTCATTTTGGCTGAGCATGAAATGTGTAGTATAGAATAGCTTATGAATCATAATTCAAACAATCATGCGATCTAGGTTTCAGTGACCTAGTACACCAGGGTCCTAATATATATATATATATATATAGAGAGAGAGAGAGAGAGAGAGAGAGATAGAATGACTATTTTCACATGATTGTCCATAATGGTGAATTTTGTCTAACACCATATGTATTGATAAATACAAACTTTCTACTTAGGCTAGAAATATAGTGCTGACCAATAAAATGTCGCGTAAAAATATAGACATCGAGTGAATAGTTAGTCCCAGTTGTCCTAGCGTCTTATCTATCATTGCAGACTGTAATGTTCATGATTCAATAATATGTTGTTCACGAAGATTTACTGCATAATATCAAGTGGACATTAAGTCAAACTTGTTGTTTTTTATGATCATGTTAAGATTAAGAAAGACTAAATATAAACTGTTTCCTTTTTAAAAAAAATCATTTCGACTATAGTTTCGGCAAGTCTCAGTATTTCCTGTGTTTATCTTATATTACTTAGGTCGCCATCCTAAATGGGCTGCCGATCGGAATGCAGAAGCTCTGAGATCAAATACTACTGTTCGATATCCTAGTTTAAACTCCACATTAGACTTCAGCATTGATTCATCTCCTCCTATACCATCCCCTCCTCCTTTAATTGTTGAACGTTTACCTTGCGGATTGAATGTCTCAGAATCTCCTGATCAAGAGCTTCTTTGTCAATCTACCTTAAACAATCCTCATTTGGCACGCCCTACAGTTTTGAAACGTGGAGCACCTGATGGTGCTGAACAATGTACAGAAGTTGCTGACAATTCGGAGCTTAAAAAAGTTCCACCAACTGAAGAATACGATCCACTATCGGCGATGAAACGGTAAGTTACAAAAAATAGCATGTTGTTTTGATGCTTAGTCTGTTTATACAGTAGTGTTTTGAGCTCAATTTTTTCTGTGATTAGCAAATTGATGAGCTTTAATCCTGCCTCAGACTCATATAATGACTCATGCACTTCGTTTATGCATCACATTTTTAATGATTTGATATTCTTTTGGATATTACAAAATTGGGTGAGAATGTTCAATGTTATCTTGACTGGAAATGGCTTGTTCATTGTGTTGTGGCTCTCTGTCCAAGTGATGATTGGTCTTTATTAGTCGTAGAAAGTACAAGGATTTAACATGTACAAATAAAATTATGTGGTTTACTCCAGACTGTCTCAATATAGAGTAATATGATTGTCACTTGTATCTCACTTTATAGGGCATCAACTTCATTACATTTTATACCTTTGTGCAAATCGCACCAGTCATCGTCCTATTTTTTCCTTTTCGTGCTTGTTAGTGAATTCATCGCATCATTTGATTTTGTGTGAGGGGAAATAGCCCGAACAATCTTTTTTGAAGTACGTACTTCACCTGTAGTGTTTACTTTCTAATCAAATTAGAAAACCGTACAGTGCTTATTTAAGAACACATAAATCATGATGAAAGTACTTTTTTGCAATGTCTTTGGTATATTCTACTCAGGTCAACACTGTTTCTCCATGTCGTATATCATGTATTTGTATTACGAACGAAATATACTTCCTGACTGACTGACTGACCGGTTTCAACGTAGAAATTTCCACAGATGTGCAGCAGTTTGAGTTGCCACACTCCACGTAGCACACAAAGCAAGAGAAGACAGTAAAGAGATTTTCAAAAGAGAGAGAGATGAGGCAAAAAGAATAGTAATATGAAAGAACAATAGAATTTTATTGCATATTATAAATCACAAAGATTGAACGTATCTGCACCATTGAGAAAGATTTTGAGTCATACTACCGATTCTGTCCAACCTGTTGGTCGAGGAAGGCAATGGCTAGGCATGCGCGACACATATCCTAACCATTTCAACGGTCATGTCTTACAGCCATGAAGGAGGACGAAGCGAAATGCTGAGCAGTACATACTTCCTTTGGCCGACAGTCTGATATCAGGTCTATACCAGGAATGGCGAGACTTGGAGAATGCCAAAGAAGTCTTCTGTATCCGTTCTAAGACTTCGTCAACGATCGACCTGGTAGGGTTGATGCAACTTCCCACATAAGTGAAGTGGTCAACGCGCTCTCCTACTTCACTCTCTGTCTTTAAGCTAGGAGTCGGCGTAGTCCGTTCCTGTAGCATCACTTTGTATTTGATGGGAGCGAATTGCATGCTAAACATTCGAAGATTGCTGCTCAGCTCAAGGTATTCAGAAGACTGTGCTATATTTTGTCAGCGTCTTCACATAGAAGGACTATATCATCTGCATATTCTCAGTGAACGAGATTATTCCCTGGTAACAAGTCAATCCCTGAGTCGCTGGAGTCAGTTATGGTTAGGTCCATTAGTATATCTATGATAAAATTAAACAGAAATGGAGACAGTGGGCATCCCTGACGGACGCCATTGGTTGTAACCACTTCAGATGACAGCTCTCCGTAGGCTCTCACCGGGCTGCATGAGTTTGAGTAGAGTGCCTTGATCAGTGCGATGTATTTTCTCGACATTCCCCTCATTCTCAAACATCGCCATACCGCCTCCCAGTCAACGGAATCGAATGTTGTTTTCAGGTCAAGAAATGTGGTAATTTTTGGGTACCAGTAAATATGCTTATGTCCCAAAATCTGTCGCAGAGTGAAGATGTGATCGATACACCTTCTTCTCGATCTAAAGCCTAACTGATTTTCTCATGTTTGTTTATCCTGAGCACCACTCCGTGTACGCATGATCATTGAGCCTAGAACTTCAGATACCATGTTGATCAAGCTAATCTCCCTGTGATTATCACAGGAAGACTTGTCTCCCTTCTTATTTATGGAGATAATCAGTGACTTACACCAGTCCGAAGGAAATATCTCTGATTTTCAGACGCTGCCTAATACCTTAGTTAACTCAGACAGTAAACTGTTTGCATCGTCCTAGGTTGTTTCAATGAAGCAAATATTTGTACGCTTAGAATCAGTAAGTAAACGCCGTTACCGTATGCAACTCAAACCAGTTTCTCTTATGATTTATCCTCTGGAACTTGAGCATGTTTTCAAGTGTTGATTTGCAGGGATTTGATTGATTACAGGTTTGACCACTAGCTGACATCAGTTAGAGACAACTGTTACGTCCCAGTTTGAGACTCTTCGCAGCGCACAGCCACTAAAGTTCTAGCCAAGGACCTCCCAGTTGCTTGGATTTCTAGTGAGAAGTCATGACAAGCGAGCTCCACTAAGTCGAGTAAGAGGAGGACAGTTACTCCGATGACATTGGCTGACGGTTGCCTTATATATATATATATATATATATATATATATCGCGAATTGGCATATTCTTCAGCTCGTGGTCAAACGTGAACTTGATTACTACTTGATTGTTTGTCATGCTATCACAATACAGTGTTAATGAGTATTCTAACAGTATTTTTTTTCTCTTCCATATTTTATAACATTTAGTAATTCTCATTGGGATTTTCATAATGAAGAATATTCACCTAAAAAAAGTCGTGTGCATTTACTGTTGCCAAGTGAGTGCAGTGCATTCCTTCCTGTTCAATCAACTCGTCAACTACGTCATCATATCCATTGTATTTCTCCACCGTGTTTACGATAATTACTTTACTTGAATATATAATTTTTTGGTTACATAACTATGCACACTGCGCAAAGTTATACTTGGTCTTTCACAGTTTACATTCATACTATTTCTTATTGTACAGTGTTATACAATATCTATTTTTATTAACATTATTTTGTTCTAGTTGTCTTTAGTGATGGTGTCGTTATTTTTGACATATATTATTATTAGTAGTAGTAGTGTTTTTTGTTTTCCTACTTGTTTATTTATTCATTTGATTTTTCTGTTTTCTTTGTCACTATCTACATTTTCACACTGTACAACTTTGTTCTTACAGTGTTTTATAAAAAATAATATTTCTATCAATATTATCATATATATATGCTGTGTTCATTCCAACTTATCCAGTTCTAAGTATAAGAACACAAAGGAGGTAAAAGGAAAGTTATGAACTATATTTGTCAGTATTTTACTTGTACATTTCCCATATTTTTTTTCTTATTGTACATTATTTACTCTGTTCAGTTCAATTGTTTATTTATTAATTTATTTAATTTTTCTTTTGAATATTTTTCAATCCTGTTTCTTTTTTTTACACAGTAAGTGTATACTGTTTAATGCATACACATAATTTTTAAAAATAGAGTTCATCTTTGTATAAGTGTGTTTTTTGAAATGTGTTCCCAGCGCTCAATATTCAAATTTATAATCAAGCGTTACTCTCTCTCTCTCTTAGAAAAGAAAAAAAAGTGAAAGGATAGCTTTCTTCTTGTTATTTATTTTATAGACTACATTTTCATTGTAAATCATTTTTAGAGGAATAATGAATGAATGCTTCGTTGATTTTCGTAAATCGTTTTACCTTAAGTTTATCTATATTATTTTAGTTAAGTTCACATCATTTGATCTGAAATAAGAAGACCTTATGTGTCTTATCTTAGGTTTATCGTGTTGTGTAGTTAGTGATGTGGAGTTGTATATTATATACACTTTGATTTATTCTTTTTTAGCATTTTACTTCTAAAAATAGTCGACTACACTAATGGAGTGACGTTTGTTTGTGAGATATTCTCTCTCTTTTTTTATCTATGATGTACTCATCATTTTATGTGCTTTGTAAGTCTATGGATTATTTATTCAAACATTAAGCAGCCTACTGTTGTCAGAAAATGAGTTTTGGCGTGCTGATGAAAGTGATCAATACTCTTTGACAAATAGAATATAGTGATTGACACATATGTATATGTGTATAGTTTTGATTGGTTGGAGGATTTCATCATGAGCTTACATCGGTTAGAGAGACTAGAGGAGACTATCGATGGTGGCTTTTTGGCTTCCATCGTTATCAGTGCACACAGATTGAAGAGAAAGTGAAGGGCCATCAAGTAGAGGAGTTGCATTGGTAGAAGGAAGGCAAGATAATAGAGATGAAGATGGATACAAAGATGAGTGAGGATTAGAGAGGTTTTGCGTGCACTTTGGAGTGTGAGGGCGATTGTTACTTCCCGGCTGCCCACACCGTGGAAGTTGGTTGCGTGACCGCAGAGCCCAAGGGACAACTGCTTGAGGCCGGTCACACACGGCCTGTTTTTGTTTGTTCTTTTTTATTTGGTGTGCCTCAGTAGCGTATTTATCACTTCTGCCCTGTGACACGGCAGCAGGAAGCGCGGTCGTTGTTAATCCGGGCCCCGACCGATCCGGCATGATATTTTGTGTTTTTGTTTGAGTCATGGCATTGGATTGGGTAGCTGCTTTTTGTCTAACCGCTATCCAAACAACCTTTCTGGCATGGTAGGACCTACAGGAACTTAAGTTCCAGCCAGTGTAGCTCGTTGGGTCATTGCGATATGCAAGCCCGACCACCACGTCAAGGTAGCAGCTTTCGGTCGGTTAGAGAATCATTGGAAAACAACTATGCAGTACTCCCAGCTGGTTTTCCAATGCTTCTGTAACCGATATCAGCTCAGGATGAAATCCTTCAACCAATCAAACAGAGTCCCTACAAATCAATACTTGAAAATATATATAGTTTTGTTTACGACAATTAGATTCGACAGTTTTAATTGAAATCCTTGGCTAACAGAAAACTTTCAGGTGGAAATATCAGTCAACTTCTTTTCCAATGAAGAATTTTCTTTTCATCAGGATAAAAGTTCGTAATTATGTATGAATCTGGTAAATCCTTTGAAGCTTTAATTTAAGTCAATATGAGAACGGTGTACACAACTGCCAGCAGTTTACAGTGGTCTGTTTAATTTTTGCTTAGTTTTTGCTTTCCACACTCTCAAGTAGTATATTAATTGGTAGTTGGTGCTTAACCTGATAATCAAGCTTTATCTGTTTAGTTCATTGATAACACTGGTGATTAATCTATTGATCTCTGAGCTTGTCTTGATTTTAAGTATCATAGAAAATTTTAGCAGATAGAGGAATAGAGATAGAAATCATGAGTCTTATTAAATTAAAATGTTTAATATTCATGTATTTAACTAGCGTGTAATCCTCTTAATCGGCTTTTTTTAACAAATGTCAACTTGCAATTATAGAATGAAGGAAGCTGACTGCTAATTTTACAGCCTGCACTGAGTTGTAGTAGTAGAGGATGAAGAAAAAGACAACGTTTCACGTTTGATCAGATCAATAATTCTATGTATGCATCTTCAAATACTTTCACCATGTTATGAGGTAGGGAAATACCCTCCCACAAACATTCTAAATAATAGAACAGATTGATGTTAAAGACTTCAATGAAATTGATACTTGATTGATTAGAGTTCTGTATTAATCCAAAGATACACATGAATTACTATTATTCAGGTTATTCCAGAGGACCACCATTTATTCATCGAGCATAGTTTGGTTTCAGTTATCTCTTATTGTAATTACATATTTAAAACGTGTTGATTAGTGATAACAATATCTTGGTAAAACAAGTGTACTATTTTACTCACTATTACTGTACTAACTGGAATTCGTACATCGAAAAAAGCAAAAAGCAACCAAAATTGTGGTGGTAATTTTGTATAATCACGCGTCGGTAAGGACGCTCGCCGACCATGCACATGATCCGGGGTTCGATCCCCGGCCGACGCACTCCTTAACCTCGCTAAGCCAGAAATAATGCTGGTAAAGAGGAAAGGTTGGGCATGAGGCCAGCAACCCCATCCTGTAAAATAAACACTGCTACAGAAACTTCAAGCCACTAGCTTGAAGCCCTATGTTCCACTGGGAACGTGAAGGACAAAAAAAACCGATAACTAAAATTCAGGCATACGGATCGTATATTTTTTTATTTGATTTACAGCTTGATTCCACACAGTATTTTCAGTACAAGTATGGAATTTTCAGCATGGATATCGGTTGCCCAAATTCAGGCATACCATAGATATCGGGTGTGCGCCGGCAGGGGATCGAACCCCGGACAATGTGCATGGTCGGCGAGAGTCCTAACCACTATGCCACCGACGCACAGTAAGTGTGTAGAATCTGTAAGCATTTTACCCATCCTCAAGCATACTCATACACACAGAGAACTAACAACAGTACAATTAGTCATCCATCATTAGATTAATAAGAACAATTAACGGAATTAACACACTGAATTAAATCATCACTCGCATCTATTTAATTGATTAGAAATCAAATAGACAAATCTGTATGACTAATTATTTCATATATATATATATATATATGCGTTTGAAACTAAGGGCACTGGGTTCGAGCCTCGGTGGGAACACCATCACTCACTGGGAAATGCAGGTACATCCAGATGACGAGTCCCAAATAGGACGAAATGCGTATTCTGGATTCCACTGCTAGTCACCATCCACAAATTAAATTCTAATTAAATGTCCAGACATCCTCGAAGCATCTGCACAAGAAGCCGACATGTCAACCTGAGACCGAGCACTTCGGTCCAATCAATCGACGGGAAAATCTCAAATTCAATTAAACTAAATCAACATAATTATTCGAGGTGTTGAAGAGATATAAGAAAATTTAGCTAACGAACTTTTATTCCACTTTTACCCCAATACAGTTTCGAATATAACTTTGATAGACCTTTGCCAGTATTACTCTATTTTAATATTCATAGATTTATAACTGTAGAGCTTGAAGAAGTTATTGAAAACAATTATTCGTTCAAATTATTCTTGTTCTGAATAATATTACTGGGCTGCTTAATTTAACGAGGAATTAATTTCTCCCTAAAATCCCGAAATACTTTTCTTTCTTACTTAGTTGACTTATCGATATGGAACTGAGGTAAAGATAGTTTTCAATGCACATAACGCCTTGTTTGCTGTTAAAAACATGAAAAAAACGTGAAAAGTTCTCAGCATTATCCCCACGTTAGTGTTCGATCAGCATGGAACACTCGACCTAGGTTTCGTGCTTGTTGGTACTCGTTAGCCAGGCATATCAGCAATATTTAAGGAAACGCCTTCTGAGATTCCAACACGAGTCATCACTCCTCAGTGCTACAGTCAGAAACGTTACCACTGAGCTATTTCGGCTCATGATTAGCTTCGTATAAGACTATAATGGGTCCTTTGGATTGAACACTAGGTAGTAACTAGATCCAATGCACCCTGCCGATTAACTCCAACCGTCTAATGTCGAATCACAGTGCACCGTGATGGCCAATCACCTAGAATATGGAGGCTACACTGTAAACTTGACTGATGGAGTTCAGTCTGCGTCAACACCAGTGTCTAAGCTCATTGACATTAATTAGTACCTAGTGTCCAATCAGACTGTCACCAATTAAATTCGATCACAACCTTTTCTATCCCACTAGTATACTGTTGATGTTTCTATGTTGTTTGTTTGTTTAGCTTAAATCATTACATAAAACTAAAATTTTAATGAATGTTTACATGAAAATTCTCAATGGTATTTTTAATTATATGTTGTATTTTATACACTTTTCGATCCAATTGACAATAATATTATTTTTTTTCCTCATGATTCAGCCAACGATATATTTATATCAGATTTTGACATTAAATCATTTGGCTGTGAGTTGTGTCCAACAGATTTTAGGAAAATGCTGAAGTGTTATTTACATTTCTATGTTTGTTTGTTTTTTCCACTTATTTAATTATGCAGATATTTGTAATCAGGATCTTTTGTCTGCTTGCGTCATTCTTGAAGCTACAATCAAAAAATCAAATAAAAATATGGAGTATGAATATTCGTAAGTAGTGTGAATAAATAGGTACACACATCGGTAAAGCGTGAAGGCAAATTTGAGAAAATTCATTCAGTATACTTAAGAATCGGCTTGTAAATCACACGAAATACTCAGATAACTTCACTTACTTGTAAGCTAATCTCTAAATTTTCAAATGCTGATTCATAGAAATTTCATTGGTTACAGGTTTGACCACGAGCTGAACCCCGGTGGGTGCGTACTGATGAAGAGTCCCAAACTAGGACGAAACAGCTGTCCAGTACTCCCAGGTTTTCCAATGGTTCTCCAACCAATGTCAGCTTATGATGAAATCCTGTAACCAATCAACCAAATCCCTACAAACCAATACTTGAATTAGGGAACTGTTATGTCCTCTTAATTTAAAAGGTTCGAGCCCCGTTGGATACGTGCTGATGAAGAGTCCCAAACTAGGATGAAGTAGCTGCTCAGTACTCCCTAGTTTTTCA